CAAAAGACTTTTTAAAATTATGAAATGCTTTGTGAATGTTATCATGGGGTAGATTTAAATGATTAATTGGATTTTCATCTTCCAAGAACTTTTATTAAAACATCGCTCATCTCTTCGTTTGATTCTGTACTTGGTGTATTAGGAATACGTACTCTGGACAAATCAATTCAGAGTAGTTTCTTTCTTTCCTGTAATCATTCATAATAATTTTAGGCACTTGTTCTGGGTCACCTTGGATGAACATTTCCCTTTCTATCGCCAGTCATTCTGTTGTTCTCAAATTTATCCTTCAGTATCCGAGAGTAGGAGCTGTACCTGAATCATACAAAGGAGGGAACTGCCAATTCACCAGCCGTGCATTCTTCTTCTTTTTTCTCCTGCACATTCGGTCTTCGTGCTGCTTTATTGGGTTGAGTAGTTGCATCTAGACAGCTTCATGCCAATCACGTGTACCCTGATTACTCATTATGAGCCTTAGGATACCAGACATCTCGCTAATGAGCACATTATAATGCTGGCCAGTGTTAATTAGATGATAATCATGTGCACTGCTTTATTTACAGTCTATCCATTTAAATTAATTGGGCATTTAATTGAACACAGTGTGAAAGAAATTGGAATTGGGTTTTCAAGTTTATTTAAGTTATTTTCACCTCCCGTCTCTTATAGGCAGGTGAGATTATTCACTTGATCTGGAAATTTAGAGCAAATACAAATGGACTAAATGCTTATTTTATAATGATACACACGCATATGTAAATTTATCTCAAGATGTGTTTGGAAACAGCAACCAAATTTGCAATTTTTTTATCTCCACTAACATACTTATGTGACCTGATTACAGAAAGATTCTGCATGCATAAGCGATATTAATAAATCCAACTCTTAGTTGGAAATATGAGGTGGGATCCTAAACCAACCTGATGGGAATGTTCTGGTATTTTCTTAGGATAGGAAATTTATATTTAATTCATGAATAAATATGTGGCAAACTATACCTAATTATGATCCTATGTATTTTCCTCTTTCAGGACACAATATCAAAATATCCCAGGGTTTACATTTTTAAGTGAGTGTATAATTGCCAAAAACTGCATGCATGAATGCACTACTAAGTTCAAAGTGTCCTTTCATTGAAATAATTTCCTAAGAGCATATGTAGAGTACACCCAGAGTAACTATATGGAAAAAAGTTTCTCGACAAAATCCTGCTCAAATAATAGCATATCCGATTTGTGGTCATCCACTCTCGTGCAATTTTGAGATGTATCAAATGACTCAAGATCTCTTCTCTAAATAAGGTGGGAAACACGCTGCTCCAGTTGTTTATAAGAATTGTTCATAGAAAAAAAAAACCCATAAACGGTTCTTCTAAATTAATTGAAAGAAAACATGTCTTGGGAAGAGAACTCAAGGGGATTAGATCAAATGGCAGTTTTTGCAGTTATATTGTGTTACATTAAACAATCTTAGTTTTCTCTCTTTGTTAACTCAAACAGGTAAATCAAGTAAAATAAATGATGTAAAGAATTTCAATCACTCTGATAAGGGTCAATATGATTCTGTTTGTAACTTCTGACATCAGAATGTTTGATTCTGCTAGGTCTTATCATAATGCTAGTTAGTCCAAATGAGTCATGATCTTTAACTGAAACAAGTTTTACCAAGTTTCCAGGTATGGTATAAGAACATGTTCCAAGGGAGAAGCTGGGCTCATGTTTTTGTAAGACTCAAATCATGTAGGATCAATGGAGGCCCAAACCAGGAAATTCATGAAACTGGATATTCTAACCCTGTCTTTCCAATATAGTAGCTTCAGTCACATGTAGCTAGCAGGAACGTGACAAGTGGCTAGTCAGAGCTGGGCTGTGCTGTAAGTATAAATACACATCTGATTTTGAATATTTAATATGATGAAGGAAACTATCTTATTAATAATTTTTATCCTGATTACATGTATTAATAATGTTTTGTATATATTGGGTTAAATAAGATATATTATTAACATTAATTTCACCTGTTTCTTTTTTCCTTACTGTGACTAGAAAATTTAAAATTACTGATGTAGTTTGCATTAGTGACTCATATTTTTATTGGAAGACACTGCTCTAACTTAATGGGTTAGTTGTCTTGGTGCTGACAAATTATTGACTACTTGTAAAAATTTAAAATGATTATTCAACCATGATGTATTGAGCTATCACTTTATACCAAGTACTGAGTAAATTACTGGGGATATTAGGAACCAAACACAGTCCCAGTCCTCAAGGACCACAGACATTTAGTATGTGCAGGGAGCTTTGTCCACGTAGAGGACAAATGGCTGGAAATAAAAGCTGCCAAAATTTTGGTAGAAATCTTTCCAGATATCTCTTTATGCATACAGGTACATATAAGCTCATAAACACAGACACATATACACACATAACAGATGTGTGAGGTGTGTGTGTTTGTATACCTGTGTGTGTGTGTGTGTGTGTGTGTGTGTGTGTGTGTGTATGGATAGAGGGAGGGAGAGAGAGATGGACAGAGCATCATACCACCCATAATGATCAGAAACTCACTTCTACACAACATATAATGGACATCATTCCACAAAAACGATATAGGTCAATATCATCATTTTGTTGGCTTCATGGTAAACATCACTATATATAGGTGTCTCAACTAATTTTAGCTTTTCCCCATCCTCTTTTTTTGAGCTTTTAGATTATTTCCAAGTTATTCTGAGTAACGCAGGAAGAGAGAACCATGCTCACTTTTGTGATTAGAAATTTAGCATGCACTATGAGAACTGGGATTCCTGGTGAATCTATTTTGGACTCCCCTTTTCCTGTGATGTGTCTTTCAAATCCAGTTTCGGTATCTACTGTTTTAAATATTGTGCCTCTGTGCTATATTTTTTCTCCTTTTGTTTTAACTTTTTAACTTTATTTTTAAATTTAAGATATACATGTACATAAATCTTTCAGTTGCTTCTTTTGGTATTTACGTTCATCTTTTTAAAAAACTTATTTTTTCTAAATTCATTGAGATATAATTGACATAAAAGATTATATTTACCTTTGTCTCTTTTTTTTTTTTAAAGATTTTATTTATTTATTTGAGAGAGAGAGACACAGCGAGAGAGGGAACACAAGCAGGGGGAATGGGAGAGGGAGAAGCAGGCTTCCCGCCAAGCAGGGAGCCCGATGTGGGGCTTGATCCCAGGACTCTGGGATCATGACCTGAGCCAAAGGCAGATGCTTAACGACTGAGCCACCCAGGCGCCCCTTACCTTTATCTCTTAAAGCAGTATGTTTTATTGACATTTGTTTAAATTTTTTAAGTTTAATTGTTAAATTTAATTTTTAAATTTAATTAAATTTTTTAAATTTAATTTAAACAAATTGACATTTGTTTAAATTTGTTTAAATTTTTAAGTGTTTAATTTCTACCAGGGAATATGAGGAATACACCCATACCCAAGGAATATGAGGAATACACACAGATCCTCATGGTAGAAGCTATGCAAGCTTCCCCACACCTTTTTTCTCCCTTTCCATAACCTGTCTCTAATTTGGGTTTAGATCAGCATTCAGCATTTACATTGATATGGCTTTGTAAATAACATTCTTGGGTGGGTCATGTAGTGTAATATAAATATATTTCCTTTCATGTATAAGTTTTCTTTTACTCCAGAGTTAATAGCTAATAATCTTCTCTCTCTTTCTCTCTCTCTCTGTCTCTCTCTCTGTCTTTCTGCATTGCTAACTCATCAGCAAACTCTGCCAGGGGGAATGTCACCATAGTCTAGCAGCATCACATTTTTCCCTAGACACATCCCTTGTGGAACCTCATTTCCTTGTTTCAGTCAGGCTTGGCTGCTCACTGTGTCTCCAGCAAACCGGGTTCCTGGGATTTCCCTTCCTAATCATCCTGGATATTCCCATCACCTCATTCTTTTTTTTTTTTAAGATTTTATTTATTTATTCAAGAGAGAGAGAAGGAGAGAGTGAGGGAGAGGCAGAGGCAGAGGGAGACGCAGACTCCCCAGTCAGCAGGGAGACTCAATCCCAGGACCCTGAGATCATGACCTGAGCCAAAGGCAAATGCTTAACCAACTGAGCCACCCAGGCACCCCCCCATCACCTCATTCTTGAGTTAGATCACCTGTTTCCTAGGTCCCATATCTTCCTCTTTCTTCATTTATTTTAGGGAAAGCCTCCTGTGGCTTCCTGAGAAAAGATGTATGGGGAGGGAAAGTTTTGAAACCTTACATGACTGAGAGTTTCTTTAGGCTTCTTTCACTCCTGAGAAGAGTTTTCTGGATATGGAATTCTAGAATGGAAATAATTTTCCCTCAGAATTTTGAAGGCAAATCTTTACATCTTCTGACTTTTAGTGTTATTGTCAAGAGATTCTATGTCATTATGATTCTTTATTATATGTAACATGTTCCGCCCTCTCCTGGAAAATTTGAGTATCTTCTTTTCCCAGTTTTCTAAAATTGCCTAATAGTGTGCCCACAGAGGATCTTTACTTATTTATTATATTCGACACTTGTTGAACCCATTCAAGTTGAAAGTTTATATTCTCCAGTTATAGGAAATACCTTTGGACCATTTAATAATTTACTCCCCTCTAGTCTTTCTTTCTGGAACTGCAATTAGCTAATTATTATACCTCCTGGGTTGTTCCTCTAAAATTTTTCTTTTTCTTTTTTTCTACTTTTTGGCTCTATATTTTTGTCTTACCTTCAGGGAAATTTCCCCAACTTTGTCTTCCAATCCTTCAATTATTCTTTCTCCTATAAACTTTTATTATTTGGGGTTATAGCATGAACCCATCCTGAAAACATTAGAAACTATAGAAAGACTTGAGATAAGTGTCAGATAGAACAGAGAAAGCAAGTACCCCCATTATCTGAGAAACATTAATAATGTAAAATTGCAGAGACCAAATCTTTGCTAGTGACATAGGATGTGGGATAGATAGGGAAACATTGGCGCTCCCTGGTGTTGTAAAATAAATTTGCAACTTTATTTATTCTATATTTTTAAGGTTATAATCCTTTACCTTGTCACTGAGCCTCAAAAAACAATTGTTTTCCCACATTATTTCAAACCCTCTGTTGTCAACCTTATCCTGCTCATCAATAACTTTCAAGTACCTTATTTGAAAAATGACTCTTGTTCATTCATTTTTCACACCTCACACATTGCACTCCAGGAAACTGACAGCCTCCCAGCACGAAGCTTATGTTCTTCTTTGAAATGCGCACTTCCACAAACGGATTTTGTTCTCCTTTCTTCAATATTACAGGATGAGCCCATGCATACTGCAAAATTTAATTCCTTCTTGCAGGCATCTTTATTCTGCAGTGTACTTGTCCCTGCCATTTTTCATGACTTAACTAAAGTACTGTCCTCCACCCTCTCCCTCCCTGACTTGGCAACCATCAGTTCTTCTGACCTACCTAGTTACCTTGCTAAACCACCTTTATGGTTATTTACCAGGAAACACTGGACAGACACATAAATAATATACCTCATTATACAACAGCTCAAGCTTAATTTGTAGGCAGAATTTCACTTGTTGGCCATGGGAAGAAAACTTATATACATCAAGTGCATTTGGGAAAGAGATAGAGCAGGAAGACATCTTGAGGGCAGGACGACTTGATAGGAACTGCTACTGAATTTTTCACTTCAGTTGTCAAGAGCTCTTTTTTTGTATTTTATTTGTATGTTCATTTTTGTGAACTCTTGTTTTTATTTAAATAGATGGGAATATCTTCTCATCTCATTATGTGAATTTATTGGCATTCTTTGACTGTTTTCCAAATCTTTGCATTGGCTCTGTTACCTCTAATATCATTGTTCTGGGCATTCTATTGTTGTCATTTTGTTTTTTGTGTTAAAATATTTCCTTAATGCCTGGTGATTCTTGACAATCTATTCCTATGGAAGAGTGAGACACTGAAAAGCCAATGGGTATGTGTTTTTGGCAGGCGGGCTTCAAGGTAGAGTAATCTGGTTGGGGAGTTTCTGTGGAGGATCTCTGCCCCTGATAGTCTCTTTTCTATAGTCTCTTTTATACCTCATTATTCCTCATTATGCCTCATTAAAAGATAGTCTCTTTTCTTTTAACTGGATTAGCCAGTTTCCCCAGAGGCTACTCCTAAAATCTCCTGCCAGAGGAGGAGGGAGCTGGAATTTTTTTTTTCTGTTCAGATACCGCTTTATATTCAATCCCCTTGTCTTTAGCCACCCCTTCAAATGTGACTTGGGTCTCTAAGTGCATGTTTCTCAGTGAGCTTCCCCAATTCTTTTGCTAGAATTAGAGAAGGGCAGCCATCCTGCTGCAGGAGGGGTGTGTACTTCTGTTTCCATACAGGCAACCAATGCGGAGGGTGGTGACAAGGATTAAAGGCCTGGGATAGAGTCTTTGTCCCAGGTTGCTGTCCTTTGTCTCTCCAGTCTATTCATGAAATGAAGACAGTGCCTTTTATTTTGTTGTAGCTTCATATAGTGTTATACAAAAAAAGCCACACTGGCAGATTGTAGTGCAGTAAATGTTGACTCTACCACCCACCTACTACACCCTGAATCTATAAATCCACACTCCTAACTGGTAAGTCCCTGCAAATACTTGCCCCTTTCTGCCTTTCTCAGCCTGAGAGCCCTCCTTTTCCTGTCCCCATCCTTAGAGATGAATGAATCTGCTTTCACTTGCAAGAAAACTTTAGTCAAGAAATAGTTGGTTGTCAGTCCTCCTGTTCTTTTCACATATGACCTTGGTCCAGCTTGATAAACAGGCATTGAGTCCCTATTGTAAGTGCACTAGGCTCTGTGTACACTGAAGTTTCAAAAATTCGAAGGATAGTCTTCTGCCTTGAGGAATTCAAAGTCTCATTCACTCTGTGACCTCTTGTTGATTCCCATGTAGTAACTGGGACTGGCTTCTGCATGGAGAAAGCCACTGGGTAATGGCTGAGCACCTGCTTGACATTGGATTCACTCACACTAACCCTAGTTTCTTTCATTTTCTATATACAGATTTTTAAAACTAAGATATTATTGAAGGTCATTAGAAATTAGCTTGGATCCCAGTGTATGACAATGTCTGTAAAAGTAAAATATTATCACTTCTCCTTAAAGAAAAAAAAAAACCCCACGGCCCTCCTGTAATTGGCGCCTCATCTGTGCACGACGTTCTTGAGTCAGCTCAGCTGATGGGGGCTCCTGTGGTGACGAGTTTGTAGTAGGCTCCTTTCTGGTCCATCAGTTCTTCATGGGTCCCCTTTTCAATCACTTTCCCCTGTGACATGACAGCAATGATATCTGAGTTTTGGATGGTAGACAAACGATGAGCAATGACAATGCAGGTCCGACCTTCTCTGGCTTTGTCCAGGGCGGCCTGCACCATCTGCAAAGAGAAGGTGGAAAGCTGATGCAAAGACACACGTTTGTTCCTTGGCCCAACATTGCAAGAATTCTGCTGAGCGCTACTTGAGTAACATTGTGATAAACAGGGGTTAAACCCAAAGGTTTGACAGGAGGGCAAGGATGACACACGTATTTGCTGACTGCAATGCATCAGTGATTTCAATTGCGTTCTACAAGCTGAGAAATTTCAGTGAAGCAAGAATGAAGCAAACTGGAGGTCACTATGTAATTTTACAATACTTGATGGTCTAGTTGGCAAAAATGAAGCCAAGGAGACCGTGTAAGATAGCAGTTAAGTGGTCATTACTGATACTGTTCTTCATTGAGGACATTTTAGTTCTCTCCAAAATGGATCCTGATTTTTAAGGAGTTAATTGTAAATGGTAAATTTCGTAATTCTGTTTTGCCCAATTGCATTTGCGTTCATGCAAGCTGCACATTAGGTACCACCTCTTACTTTGTGTTGTATGCTATCTACCTGCTCTGCTGTGTAACTTTGAAATTATAAAATATGAAATGCCTTACAGATGACCTAGATTACTTTATTTCACTTAAGAAAGCTAATTACTTACCCTTGAAAAAGTGTCACCTAGCTTAGACAGTCTTCAAAACAATTCTTATTTTAGGGCGCCTGCGTGGCTCAGTTGGTTAAGCGACTGCCTTCGGCTCAGGTCATGATCCTGGAGTCCCTGGATCGAGTCCCGCATCGGGCTCCCTGCTCAGCAGGGAGTCTGCTTCTCCCTCTGCCCCTCCCCCCTCTCATGTGCTTGCTCTCTCTCATTCTCTCTCTCAAATAAATAAATAAAATCTTTTAAAAAAAATTCTTATTTTAAAGTTAAAATACAATTTTTTATTTGAAACAATCCCATTTTGCCTCACTTCCTCTCGATTATTGTCTTTTTGTTCCACCAAGTAGTGCCATTTATACTGTCCATGAATCAGGAAACTGAAAATAGTGCCATTTTGCAGAAGACATCAACAGACATTTTTCCAAAGAAGACATCCAAATGGCCAACAGACACATGAAAAAGTGCTCAATATCGCTCAGCATCAGGGAAATCCAAATCAAAACCTCAATGAGATACCACCTCACACCAGTCAGAATGGCTAAAATTAACAAGTCAGGAAACGACAGATGTTGGCGGGGATGCGGAGAAAGGGGAACCCTCCTACACTGTTGGTGGGAATGCAAGCTGGTGCAACCACTCTGGAAAACAGTATGGAGGTTCCTCAAAAAGTTGAAAATAGAGCTACCATATGACCCAGCAATTGCACTACTTGGTATTTACCCCAAAGATACAAAAGTAGGGATCCGAAGGGGTACGTGCACCCCGATGTTTATAGCAGCAATGTCCACAATAGCCAAACTGTGGAAAGAGCCAAGATGTCCATCGACAGATGAATGGATAAAGAAGATGTGGTATATATATACAATGGAATATTATGCAGCCATCAAAAGGAATGAGATCTTGCCATTTGCAACGACGTGGATGGAACTGGAGAGTATTATGTTGAGTGAAATAAGTCAAACAGAGAAAGACATGTATCATATGATCTCACTGATATGAGGAATTCTTAATCTCAGGAAACAAACTGAGGGTTGCTGGAGTGGGGGGTGGGGTGGGAGGGATGGGGTGACTGGGTGATAGACACTGGGGAGGGTATGTGCTCTGGTAAGCGCTGTGAATTGTGCAAGACTGTTGAATCTCAGATCTGTACCTCTGAAACAAATAATGCAATATATGTTAAGAAAAAAAAAAAGAAGAAGAAGAAGGTAGCGGGAGGGGAAGAATGAAGCGGGGGAAATCGGAGGGGTGGACGAACCATGAGAGACGATGGACTCTGAAAAACAAACTGAGGGTTCTAGAGGGGAGGGGGGTGGGAGGATGGGTTAGCCTGGTGATGGGTATTGAGGAGGGCACGTTCTGCATGGAGCACTGGGTGTTATGCACAAACAATGAATCATGAAACACTTCATCTAGAACTAATGATGTAATGTATGGGGATTAACATAAGAATAAAAAAAATAAAAATAAAAATAAAAAAAAATGATCAGATTTAAAGGGCCAGAAGTAATAAGGAAGCAGAAGGAAAATCATCTGGAATAAATGGTTGTATGAGGACATGGCAAATGCCCAGTAAAAAAAAAAAAAAAGAAAGAAAATAGTGCCATTTTATAAGGGCATATATGACAGCAAAAGCCTCATTTATAATGATCTAAGGGACTTTAGAAAATCAATACATACCTTTTCACTTTCTGTGTCTAAGGCAGAAGTGGCTTCATCTAGCAGCAGGATTTTAGGATCTCGTACAATGGCCCGAGCGATAGCAATACGTTGTTTCTCTCCTCGAGATAGCTGAGACCCTTGGGCCCCAACATTAGTTTCATATTTCTGGAAAAAGTATGGTAAGTTTGAGACGCAGGAACAGTCATTGCTCCTATGCTGTATGGAGCCCACCTCAAGGACCTCTCTGTGGATTTAAACAATTTTTTTGTTTTTTAAAATTGGGAATACTAAATGAGTCCTTCTCTAAAGGATGTCAAATCCACTTAGGGATATAAGAAAAATATGGGGTTTGTTGGGAAAATAGGGGATTTTATGTCCCCTTCTCTGCATTTATTTTAAGTTTTTTTTTTTTTTTTTTCTTTTTCCCTGTCTATGAGATCTCTCTGATTTAAAATTCCCTGATTTCCAAACTCTTGTCTGGAAGATCTTCCCAAGGTGGAATGATGCAAGGGCCCTTTGCGAGATCTTCTGGTCCATCCTCTTATGAGAAGGCATCCTTCTGGAACACAAGCCTATGTGCGAAACTCCACTCTGCTGCTTATTAGCATGAAAAAATTATTTAAATTTCTTTGAGCGCCAACTTGTCTGAAAAATGCAGATATTAATAACTAGTTCATATATTTGTTGTTTTAGGTGACGTTATGAAGGAAAATCCCTAACTAGATGCCTGGCATGGCTACATAAAAAAATAGTTAACATTCACAGAATATTTACCATGCTTTGGGTATTGTGTTAACTATTCCAGGCAGATGATCATTTAACATTCACAGAAATAATTTTCTCCCTACTTTACGGGTTATAAAACTTAGGCACAGACAGGTAAGAACATTGTGCAAAGACAAACAAGTACAAAGCAGTGAAGGTGAACTCTAAATCCAGGTGCGTCTTGTTTCTGAGACTTTGCCCTTGACCACTACTCTCCCCTGCCTTCCACAACAAGCGTGTGTCCTCCCCGTTTCCCCTGTCTCCTGACAAATGCTAACCAGCCAAGGGAGACTCCTGACAGCCTGCTCTGCCCTCGTGGAGAAACAGTGCTCAGTGAAGGGTACGATGGGTAAGTCTGTATGAGAAAGAGGCCATAAACTGCCTCCAAGCCACTGTCTCCCACAAAATGAGGACGTGCTCAGCAAAGATTCGTGGAACAAATGAATCTCTCAGGGACACACGAGCTTTGCTTTTCGTTCAGTAATTTCTACATGCTTATGGATTACACTACCCAGGCTAGAACCAGGCTAAGACAGGAGCCTTTGTGAAAAAGAACAAAGGAAAAAGCCCACCACAAACAGCACAAAATTTATAAACATAATCACTTACAAAGAAAAGTAATTTCCCAGTGGTATTTAAAAGAAGGGGAAAAGGTGAAAAGTTTGGTTCCTAAAATTTCATTTCTTTGTGTTAATTTTCTTTGTGATCGACCCCCAAGGGGCTCTTGGTGGATGGAAAAATGCAGAGTCAATATTGTACTAAGTTCAAACTTGGCTCTGGAAAAGTGAGAAGCACGAAGGCAGATGCAACTCACCCCACCACGCACAGTATATGCTGCCAAGTAATGCAATCGTGATAATGACCATAATAATGGCCGCAGTTTTCTTTGGATGGCTATTATGTGTATTCTTTCATTTTAATGTTATTTTGTGCATTTTGCCGATGACCGAGTCTCAAAAAAAATAAGCAACTGGAACAGAGTTAGTAAGTGGCAGAGTTTGAGTTCAAAGCTGTACCTGCTCCAAATCTCAGGATTGTTTCCCACCTTGCTACACCGATGCTCAGTGTAGTCGTGCTTTAAGTGCAATAAGTTTCATGGCGTCTTTTGCACTGGATAATATAATACTTTCCAACACTAAAGAGTATGCTGATGACAGATATTTATTCTGCTTAAAAGACAGAGGCAATCCCGGGGCACCAGGAAATGACCCGTGTTGCCTTTGACCCTCTCCTTAAGCCATAATCATAACACTTTCGGGCCATTCTACCTCTACCCATCCCCGTCTCCCATAGGGAAGGACTCTGACCTAGTCCTCACCTCTGGGAGGGACATGATGAAGTCATGCAGCTGTGCCCGCTTTGCGGCCTCTATGACTTTTTCCTTGGGGATTTCTTTGGTGTTGTCTCCATACTTGATATTGTCCATGATGCTACAGGCAAACAACACTGGCTCCTGGGAAACAATCCCAATGTTCGAGCGGAGAAACTGGACGTTGACTTTTTTGCTGTCATGTCCGTCTATCATCTGCCAATAGAGGGGACCAGCAGAGCATTAAGTTTTAGAATTCCAGCAGCGAGGAACGTTCATATTCTAGAGGTAGTAGTATACAAGACATTTGCTTTGCTTATGAGATAAAAATCCCAGGAATCTTACAAAGAAGTTATGTTGCTTTTGACCTCGGGAGGTAGTGTGTGTCAAGAGTGGTGTCAAAGTTATGATCAGACTATGGTTTTGGTTGTTTCCCAAACTCCAGCCTTACAGGCAATACAAACCAGAAAGGCACTCGAGACAGTATTTTGTTAAAAAAAATTTCCCTTTATACTTTGGTGCAGCACATCCTCTACAAGTATGAAGAATTACTCAATTTTGAGACTCCACAGGTTATGAAACAGGCTCTTCTGGGGGAGCCTGGGTGGCTCAGTCAGTTAAGCGTCTGCCTTCCGCTCAGGTCATGATCCCGGGGTCCTGGGATCGAGCCCCGCATCGGGCTCCCTGCTCGGCGGGGAGCCTGCTTCTCCTTCTGACCCTACCCCCTCTCATGCTCTCTCTCTCTCAAATAAATAAAGAAAGAAATCTAAAAAAAAATGGATGGCAGTAAGATAAATATACAAAAACTAATAGCTAAAATCTCAATCTATGACATTCATTCAAAATTGTGAAAAAAATACATAAGAAAAAATGAACAAGATAGAGTGATACTTAATGTATCTGTGTATATATACTATGCATAGCATATAGCATATCATGTAGTTATAAATCTTACTAAAAACTAAAGATTCTTATTTATGTCTCTCCTGGGAACTGTTAGCATCCCCACAACAGCAATCTTTGTGTGTGTGTGGGGGGTGGGGGGGGTTGCTGCATGGATGTATTCAATGGGAATTAAAATAAAATTTTTGAAGAAGCCAAGATGATTTTAAAGTACATTAGAATAAGTAATGTCCAGGAATAAATAAAAGAATTTTGAAGAGGAAAAATTATTGTGCAAGGATCTACCTTACCAGATAATAAACACTTATCATAAAGTTATATAACTAAAACAGTAAGGTCCTGGCACAGAATAAATCAAACTGATCAGTGGAAGAGAATAGAGAATCCCCATAGCTCCAAGTATCCATGGGAAGGTGACAGTCGCAAAGGGCAGGAGGATTTCAAATAGCTGGAAAATGAAATCTACATTAAATTTTGGTGGGGGAATATTTTCTATTCAGTTTGAAGGAAAAAAAAAGCCAGATTTCTACTTTACACCAATATTAAAATAAATTTGACCCAGGTTAGCAAGCTCATTTTTAAAAAAAAAAAGTTTAACAAAAATAATCGAGAAACTCTTAGAAACTTTTCATTTTTTTAAAGAATAAGTAAAATTTTTGTAAGATGGTTAGATGCTACTCTATGAATTCAAGTGAGAGTGAATAACCTTAAAAAGCCCCCTTGCAGATTGAAGGATGCAAAAATAGAAGAGATAAGGTGATGGCTTATTTATCTGACCTAAGCTCAAGAGTCAGGTAAACTGGACACTAGAATACTCAGATGGTAAAAGTGAAATTGCTACAAGCTTCCTTCAAGCAGTAAGACAATGCACATTAAAACCCTTCAAAATGATTATACATTCTGATCCAATGATTATATTTTGAGAACAAAAAAATAATAATCAAGGATATGCCAAGCTTGATGTAAAATGACATAAGTTGCTTATAAGGGAGAAAAACAGGCATTTAAATAAGGAATTCTTAAACGATGACACATTAAGATGATGAATTATACAGCCATCAAAAATCTACTCTAGAAGAATATATAATAACGAAAATATGCCCACATCAGATTGTTGTAGGGGAAAAACAGAAAGATTACAAAACAATATGTACAGTGTGACCCAAAGTCTGTGGGAAACACATTTATACCTAGAAAAAAGCTCTGAGGAAGAGGATCCCATGCTCCTCTGAAAGTCTCTCACACCATTGTCCATATTTCTGGTTGAACTGGCTAGGAGTCAAGACATACATAACTCAGTTTTTCAATCTGGGCATGGGGGGTGGAGGGGGGTTCTTCCAAGAACCTCACAAACTGTGGTTTTCCTTTTTCCTCTTCCTTCCTTCCTTCCTTCCTTCCTTCCT